TTTTCTATTTTTTCATTAACTTTATAAATCGTATAGTAACTCATATTAATGAGATCACAAATATTCATTGATAATTTATCTGTGGATAAGTCTTGTAAATAATAATTAATTGCAAACGATTTCCTTTATTTTTTATTCGAATAATCATAAAAAATATTTTATCTATACTAAAATGTTTTTTTTTAGAATTAGTACAGAAAATTAATTTTAGAAACACAGACAACTACAGGTCAAAACGATTTAATACTGCAGGCGCACTGCAAATACCACCCTTTTTTAACCTTTTTTTTTTTGCCTTTACTCCACTCGATTACAACAATTATAATTTAAGGCGCAATTAGTAGTACATAATATAATATATATTAAATATATAAACACAAGTTGATTCACCTTGTTTTTCCATTTTACTGACTTTTATATTTAAAACGAACAAACAGGAAACGCCGCCGCTGCCGCCTCCGTGATGGTCCACCCTGTTCTACAAAAATAAATTATTATAGACTTAAATGATCAAAAACACAGACCGTGCCATTATCGATTGTTAGTTCTAATAATCGAAAGAATATGATCGTTAATCAGATCGATGGTATTTTCAATATTCATAACATACGGAAACAAAAAAAAATTGGTGGTTTTATTTTCATGTTTATATAATCAGTTTTACCCGAAGACATCTATTATATAGTTTCATGTCTCCGCAAGATAACTACCAGTTTCCCAACAAAGAAATGATTAAAACCGAGTTCATAATCATATATCACGTAACATTATTATACAATCATGATATATTTAGATTTTTAAGATCAATAAACAATATTATTGGTAAAATAGCAAACGACAAAAATTTTTCTGATGAATCACTTGAACAGTTTTCAAAAAAAAACAAAACTCCAGAATTTTCAACAAAATATTTGAAATATTTCTGTTATCAGAATTTTGGATTAGTGTCCAGTATGGGTCTTGACAGTTACGGATTGTAAGTTGCACTACGTTAGACCAAATTTATTTTGTAACTATTTAACAATGTAAGTATAGAAATATGTGTACAGTTTAAATTTACACATATTAAAAATGTATAACATGGTACTTTATAATTATATTTAAAATTACATTTTCATCAAACAAGTAACATATATTTTTTTACTTTTACTTTTGTGTTTTATGCATTCAAATCATGCATATCTTAGAACTGGATTAAAACTTATTCAAACTTAAATGCTAATGATACTGCAGTTGCTTTCTTTGATGCTTTACACTTTTGTAATCGAAATGTTGTACCTAAAACTATGTATATACTACAAATGTATTATCCATTTATCCAAAATGGTTTACCGCCATAAAGTTTTCAAAAAATATTGTTTTTCTTAAAAAAAGAGCATTCAATCTTTTGATCTTCCAAGAAATCCGGAGACTATCGTACTTTTTCCATTTTACGTTCTTGATATAAACTTGAGTACAGACTACGCTATCGAAAATTCGTCCAACGTATTGTTAATGGACTTCTCATTCAAATCCAAATCAATTCTGGACATTTGATAGATAAAACAAACACAGCTATGGTCTTCCTGAAGTTGTTACTTATTGCAGATGTGTCCAACAAACAAGAAATCTGCTGCATATTTGTAATTTCGTTTTTATTTTCTCCTGGTCCCGTCAATACTGGACGTTCTTATTTTACTTACATTTCGGTTTCGATCTCCAAAAAAATAAATATTTTGATTGATGATGCATATTGCGAGGTCTCACTAAATTGTCTGGTAAGAAATATATTGACCCTTTATTATCAGGTTCTTTTCTTTTTAATTTAAGACTTTTTATTTGTTATATCTAGTCGTTTTTTTTTTTAATCTAAAAAATCCTTGAAGAAGGACATTTTTACGATATTTCGCAAATTAATTCATTCACTTAGCCCAATTTAAAAATCTGGAAACCCGAGTGATGTACCCAACTGTATACCTATTTCTATAATTAGTCATCATAATAAATTATTCAATGCTTTAGATTTACGTTAAAACTATCGGTTAATCGAATTCTTCTTGCTAAAAAACACGGTTTTCGTTCTTTGCGATCCACCAGCCACCACTGGGGACCTGTAACCTGGTATTTACCAACTATGTAATGAATGCTCTTAGTATGTATTCACGGGTAGATGTGATTTACACTGATTTTGCAAAGGCCTTTGACCGAGTTGATAATAATATTTTTTTAAATGTACTACGTCAGTCAGGAATGGGATTCGGGAATTGGTGACCCCCTTCTGACATGGTTCGATTTTGTTAGGATTAAAAATGTTCTGTCTAATACCACTAACATGACAATGAGGGCTTCGCAAAATGATAAATTTCCTTCTGTAATTTGGAACTGTTTTTTTTTTACAAAATAAAAACAATTTTAGTAAATAAGCTTTTTAGTATGTTTTAATATGTACAATATTTGGTTAAGTGTAAACACCTTACAACTTTTATAAGTATACATACTATCGTCGGTCGTATCTATTGTATAACATTTTACTGAAGCATATATTACCGATTATTACTAGTATATGTTGCTACTGGAAAAATAACCAAATTGTATTCAGTTTTATTTTTTATGCGCATTGATGCATAACTTATCTATTTGCAAATGTATGATATTCCTATTTAGTATTTATATTAATCAAAAAATAATATTTCGTTCAAAATAAAATTGCCGTTAGCAAAATACCTATGTATAAGTTATAAGTATACTATACTAAAGATGTGTAAAATGTAACAATGTTACACCAGTACACATTACACGTAGGCAAATAACAATATCCGCGTATAATCACAGTCCATTATTGTGTGAATAAATATTTATGAGATTAATTAACGATTATACAATTGTTAACAATATCGTATAACGATAATTGTATTGACAAACATTCGATTAGCTTATTATTATTGTTTGAGTAGCTACCTACCTATAGCTAGAGTGATCTTTGGTGCAACGAAAAACAAACTGTTTGCAAAATATCGTAAAAATACGATAATGTACAGCAAATATATAACAATTATTACTGTTAATTATAATAAGTTTATTTGACAAACACGATACTGATGTGAACACCGTAATGTACCAACTACCAGTGAACCGTTAACCGAATGGACTCATAAACATGTAAATCGAGTATTACACAATGTGTGTTGAATGCAGTGCGAATATAATGAACTTCACTTGATACATTGTATTATTGTAACAAATTAAAGAAAACAGTTATCAATTACCATTTAGAAAAATTGGTCAGAAACATTTTACAGTGGACTAAGTAGCTGAAGGAAATATTTATGTTAAAATATTAATACAAACAATCGTAGTTAAGTATTGGTAGGTGTGTAACTAACATATACGGACACAAAGAGGATATAAACATAGGTTAGGTTAGTATATAGGTATATTAGGTTAGTGGTTAAAATATTATAGTATTTTAATAATAATAAAAATTATATTATACTATATAATAACATCATTATGGAAGTACCTACAGTGGAAGAGCAACCAATAAATAGAAAATTCATAAAATACTTACAATCATACCTTATTTTTTAAATAAAAATAATGTACGAACTAATATTATATAATATGCAGAGACGGACACCTGTTGTAGCACATCGGACCGGCTCAATATATTTTGGGCCACTGAACATGATATTATGACGATATGACCAATACAATTATTTTAATTGACAGAAGTTTTAAACCACGACTACTGAGCCAATAAGGAATGAGTGATACGATAAGTACATGATTAAACCACTACACAGTTTTAGGTTTCTAAACATATGAGTTTAGAAAACTTTTTAATATAAAGTCAAATCTGGACTAAAAATCATCCTTAGGGCTCCGGAACACCAGACACTTAGGGGGTCCATTCAACTGTCAAACTTTAACGATTATTCTCACTTTAAAAAATATGTTTTTATTACTCTAATGTTTAACGGTTGTACATAGTTTTATAATATTGTGGACCATCTAAAATGAAAATAAAACAATATTATGTAACTTTATAATACACATATTATTCAATTAGATATAATCATACAAATTATTTTAAGAAAGACTCTATATTATGTAGTCGCCACGACCACCACATAGTAATAAATTATATTTTAAGCTTTAAACACTATTATAAAATATTGCTAACTCACGTGAATAGGCCAAAAACACCCAATATCAATTAATAATTAATTATGCTAATAATATTAATTTCGGATTGATTGTTATTCAATAAATACAGTATATGGTAATACCACTTACTAAACTGAACTACACATTTTTCACAACTCCTGTTTTCACTAAATTACTAGCTTCATATCATATTTCCATTAAATATAAATGTATTACAAATTCATCATTATTAGTTATTTTTAACCATATGGACCTATTAGATTTTTTCAAAATTTCAAGCACAGTATTCTCTAGTCCGTTATATTATATTTAATCCTTTCATAGATAATTATTTTTTTATTACTATAATGCTACCCGCGAAATAAATCAAAAATAAAATGTTTTTTTCATAATGAATAAAATAAGGTTCTCATTCATTTTCAATTTATTAGTTGATTTTTATCTTGTATCTTATTGGATAAACATGAACATACCTATGTTGCATATTTTTAAACTCCTAAAGTGGCCATCCAAAAAGTATCCAATTGGTGTTCACTGCTCTCTTCTATAAAAAGGCAGTACAACAGTGCCGGGAACAATTAATGCGTTTAAATTTAAACCGACAACGCAGCTACAACAAAGTGTAAAAGTCTGATCGACAAACGCAATGCATACGCTCCTGTAAACACACGTCAACACACACACACACACACACACACACACACACACAACACCATGTTATTATATTACTATTGTGTACAATACGTCTTTATTATTGTTAGAAATGTATGCAAGCACAATGATATCATCATAAATATTATATTAGATAAGACCGCGGCCGGGTCAGCGGGGCACTCATAATCGCGGCGGTGGCAGAGTCCATCACGCATCGCGTCTTAACGGCCGCAGTTACTCGCGGGCTCAACGACTGCTCGCACACGCAACGCGACCCACCCGGTGGATACATAATAATACAATAATAGTATAGATCGGTCGTACAACAATATAAATCGTCGAGTGCCGACAATCGTCCAGTCATCATCATCGTCGTCGTCGCCATCGATCCGATCCACGAAATCGTTCGGTCGTAGTGGAAACCCGTCTCGTCTGCAGTCGTCCGTCTTTGGCGACATGAAGACGGCCGTCGCAGTAGCCATCGCGCTGTCGCTGTGCGGAGCTCTTCCGTTCGTCGCAGGTACACACGCAATAATTTCATTATTATTATTATTATTGTTTTCATTGTTTTTTATTCATCGACGTCCCCCGCCCCAACAATCTACGCTTTTTTATTATTATATTTTTTTTACCATTTCCATATATTGTTACACCCGCCAAATGTAGAACCTCGCGCTCTCTCGTCGTATACCACCGTTCTTCAATCGAACAATAATATCCAGTAATGAGTATCGTCTTCTTCTGCCTCTGGCAAACGCTCTCTGTCCTAAGCGTTTTCGTCACATACATAATATTATGTTTCATAATGATATGTTACGTCTACGTTTCTCTCGATTCTGAGCTATTCCTCTCCATTCCTGCACTCCCTTCCCCCTCAGTTAAGGTCCTCCTCCTAAGACTCTCCGAAGTAATAACTAACAAGTAACGGACCGCACACTATATATATATCATACCCATATGGTTTATCATTATTGCGACCGGACGGCGTGCGCGAGCGAGTGGTGCAGAGGAGATTTCCATTTGCAAATTGTATTTTCCGTCCGCTCGGTATGTGTGATAACTAACGTTGCCATAATCTCAGGTCCGCACCACATATATTATTATTATTATTATTATTATGTATAGGTATGCCGCATATAAATCCGACCGCCATTACACCGCTGAAGTCCATAAATACACACAATATTTACTCGCTATACATCATGTGGTATATACCTGCATAATATTATATGAGCGTGTGTACCACCAGTGCACAACAAGTAGGACTTGTTTACAAGCCTATACGAGGTGCACATCGCCTGATAGGCACCTATACTTATATCTCTAACCTATGCGGATCGGAGTAATTAATGGTTGCCGTTGCAATATTATAAAGTGTACTCTACACGGATTGTGGTCGTCGACGTCGGACGTCTCCAAACAATACCAATAATAGTAAAATATGACATAATGGCGTATAACAGAAGTGTTTAGACTGGTAAAATGTATAATAGGAGTATTCAGAATAGTTTAGACTAGTGTTCATAGAATTATTTTAGTTCGTCAATGCTTTCGATATATATTATATGCTCTAGACAGAAGTATGGATTAAGGAGGGGTGGGAGGGGTATATCTCCTGTATATATATATATACAAATAGGCCACCACTCACCACCTGAAAATTTAGTATTTTGTGTGTACAATAATGTCTGCGACCACCCCCCCCCCCCTTACAATAAATTCCTAATTACGCCACCGCATCATAATGGTGATAACCAGGCTCGAGCGTCTAAGCCAACAATGAAATAAATTGCGTTTTAATCTGTAAAAAAGAAAAGTAAAACATTTATTTTTTTAGAGGCTTTGTAAAAATTTTTGGATCCATGCCTGGCGGAAACGTACTTTAAATTAGACTATAATAGTAATGTCTACAAATTTTTCGATGGTTTGGTAAATAATTATAATTTATAACCATCGTGGATCTGTTGATTGGGATTTATAGACTGATTTCAAAGTTACTTCTACGTCTATCACTTACAATAATAAATTCTATGTTGTACCCCCGCTCCAGCCCTCCCTCCAAGTCGTGAATTATTCGCCCTTATTCTTGGGACCAACCATATTATGACTTGGTCAGTAATATATCGATTATAAAGTCAATCGTTTTTGCCAACATCGTCGAGTTGTACTCAACAGTATTATTATTGTTAATCGTAATTTGAACATTTAGACTATTGATAATATTATAATGATCTCTGTTCAAGAACAATTTTCGCACAATTCGTCCAGTTTTATAAACATGTTTATTTCAAAGACTAAATTTGCGTAGGCACCTTAAATAGTTTAAGGATAACGTGGTCTGACCGCTTTGTTTGTTCATATAAAATATAAATATTAAAGGGCAATATTGTTTCTGTGAGTAATATTTACAATATAAATCTAGAAATATTGTGAAATAATGACAGTATGGTCAATAGTCATTGTGTAGACAATTATATTATAATAGTAGACCGTCCTCCGCCGTGGGCTGTGATAATCACCCGATAATAATCTACTATATTATTATAAATCGTTCATTGATATTAGATTAAAATGAAATACGATTTTTAGTTTATAATTTACTAATGTTTAATACACACAGACGTGTACCGATATTTAACAAAAGGAATAAAAGGAATGTTTACAATATTGTGTACGACCGTTTTTATCTTTTATCAGACGTTAGCGTCTTATACGTCATTAAATTTTAATTTTAATTTTAAGAATCGCAATGCACAGGATTAAAATATTAATATATTTATTATTCCATATATATATATATTGGTAATTTATAAATTATACCTATACGTATTGTGTATTTTATCCTATTACGAACTTTTTATAATCAACGTTTTAAGAAGATAATATACATAATACATATTGCAATTAATAATATTTAATTTTTAATACATTTAATATCTGTTATTATTGTGCGGTATGCATAAATATATTATTATACCTAATATAGGTTATTAGGTGTGGCTAGCTATTGTACAGGCGCGATTTGTACACCAGTATCGATAGTTGCATTGTACATGTGTAATTTATAACATATTAATCAACATAATCAATAGATATATAATATAATATATAATATAGTATAGTTTCACATTAGCTTACTGGGCAAGTTAATGTAACTACGTCATTAGCAATTGTTCACCTATAGTATTCAGTTATTGTGTAAAAATAATAAGACCCACGCACAATGACATAATTTTGGAAATATTTATCATTTTCACGGCAATGATATCTTCTAATTTGAAATTTAAAATTTCAGCGACCCAACAAGAAAAATGTTGGCCATGGTGCGGCTTGTATATGCGTTGCAATGGCAACTATCCCTTAAAGAGATATGGCTCGTCTTCGCAATGTTTCTTAAATTCGCATAAATATTGTTGTCCTGATGATGGAGACTTTATTTATTGTGATACTAATGATTTACTTCTCTCGGAGGGAAATTGTTACGTTCAAACAGTCGATGGAAAACATTGTACGAACTTACAGGACGAAATAAAATCTATAGACACCAGAGGCAAGTGTTTGAGAATATATGATCAATCTGATTGCGAAGGGCGTTCAATCGCTGTTCAGTCGGGTAAATATCACAATCTAGTTGATTACGTGATAACTGCACGATCGGTTAGTGCTTGTTTTCAACGGGACAAATGTGAAACACAAACTCACAGGAAAAGATCGTACAATTGCAAGTTTATCAATGACTTTATGATCGGATTTTTACCGTGGTTAAGGCGGGACAGAGACAATTTGCAAAACGGTCCAGTTCAATATTTCCAAATTGGACCAAACGGCCGGACTGAAGTTATGGAAGCCTTAATTCACAGACGCCATTTGGATACGGGCACTCCACCGGACAATAGTGCTCGAGAGTTTACGCGAAACATGAATGAAGGCAATACAGGCGATCAAGCTGGTCATGTATTAGCGTCACGTTTGGGAGGTTCGGGCAGAGATTTGAGAAATATATTCCCTCAAAATCCGCATATGAACATGGGCCATTGGCGTTCTATAGAAAACGATGTATATAATTTGGTTGCGGCTTCCGACGAACCCGTTAGATTTAATATTAACTTATTATACGAAAGCAGGAGTAGTACTAGACCATCCAGTATTGTGTTTCGTATTCAATCAAACATATCGAGTGTACACGATAGAATCATCGAGGATATTCCAAATCCATGATGTAACTATATATTTAACATGGCTAATTAGGCTATCAGCTATTAGTCAATAATATATTGTAATGATGCAAAAATAGAATGTGTGAGCAATGTTTATATATATATTTACCTTTTTAATCATTATATTACATAATTTATTTGTATATGTACATTACACGATCTAAATTACAATCTTCTCACATATATAAGGATTCAAATATATATAATAAATTTACTTGCCCTAATTCAATTGCAGACTTGTCATTTATTCGATGAACGAAGGAAGAAGAAATAAGTATAATATTGATTTATTTATAATTTAATATCATAGTCCAGAATGCAATTAATATATTAGAAATATTTGAGAATGAATATATTTATTATTTAAAGATAAGTACAACATATTCTACACAATAATGACTCTATTACATATACCTATTACATACGAACATAGCCTATTTCATATGACCCGAGCCGGAGACATACGCAGCGAGAGTGCTGTTGTCGATATCGGTCCGATGTCGATGAGTGTCGTTTGAGCCGATAAAATGGTTTATTTAGATAAGCCTTATCGGACAAGGAAATAATATAAAAACACAGATGTATATATTATAATATAGATATTTAGCGAAACGATTATTAGACTTTAACTACCACGCATTAAAAAAAAAATGTTTATAATAAATGTACGTATTTCAAAAATGTATTATTCAAGAATAACGATGGAGCTAAAAACAAAATTCTGCAAAATCATTATTTTGGAAATTACATCTTTCCAAAATTGTCCAGCTTTCCCAGCATCCTTACTTGCTTCTCTCAATTTTAATTTGAAGGTGTTTTGGGCGTCCATATACTCTGTATAGAGTGTATCTGGTCCGTCTTGTTCGAATTCGCCCTTCCATGGCCTTATTTCTGTACCATACTTACTGAAATAAGCTTTCTTCGAAAATTTTCTATTTCTACTGTCTATCAGTAACTATGATGCTTAACACCTCTATGCAAATCATTAATCATACTATGATAACATATTTCTTCTATTAATCTGTGCTACATTGACGGCCTCTATAGCGTTGCTGAATCTGATTTTTTCACCGTGAGTTTCTCTATAAATTAATGGAATTTGACATTATCGATTTTCCTCCAACTCCATCAAGTTTCTTACTGGCTGGTTACGTTGTTTATTTAGGATATGCATGATTTCGAATGTGATTATTTATGTAGACTATGATTCGTCTTCGAGTATTCTACACCCGTTTAACCTGCCAATTTTGTTTGAATGTTATATCGATATAAGATTTGATGTAAGTTTCGATGGACAAAAGTA